CCCTGTGGAACATTTCTAACATTCATTAGAAAGATATAAATATGATATAAACTTCCTCTTAAGGAGCTCTGCTGGTATAGTGGGTTACATGTTGGCCTACTAACTGCAAGGTCAGCAGTTCAAATCCACCAGCTGCTCTGTGGGAGAAAGATAAGAGTCTCTGCTCCCGTAAAGATTTACAGCTTCAGAAACTGTATGCAGGGTCACTCTGAGTTGAGACAGATTCAAAGGCACACAACAACCACCACCAAATTTCCTCTTGGTTATATGATTTCACAAATACGATTACCCTGAGAGGAAGATATTTCGCCCTTACTGACCGGTAAAAAACAGATTCAGAGAAAGAGGAGTGAACCTATGTTTGACATGAGTGCTTTGCATTTAATTCTCATAATAATCCACAAATAGTTTAAAAACAAAAAAATGGTCTCAGAAAGGTAAAGTAATTGGCCTAAGATCATACCAGTGGTAAAGTCAGAATACTGACTCCAATGTCCATGCTTTCCCCTTAGTACCACAATATCACCACGTTAGACAAGTTGGCTAAGGTTCAGAATTCTGATTGACATGTGAAACTGAAAGAGCTGATACTTACCTGTTAGTGAAGCTGAGTGATCTGAGCCAGCAAGAACACATCTGACTTTAGAATTCTCTAGGCCTACAAAAAAAAAAAAAAAATTCTTTTGGAATTACACTGAAAACAGATCAAGTTGGGCAGAACAGTCAGCATATCAGGACCCAAGGAGAAATTCTCAGCCCGTTACAGGCAGACTTGAGCCAGCAGCGCCTGACATGATTGGGAAAGCAGTTTCACAAAAGGTACTGGACTATATGAGCAAAAGTTCATGGAAAAATTCCATTATATTTTAACTCAGTTTTTCCATGAACTTCTTGAAGTCTTCTCATATAAAGTATTGTTATAGTTAAGTGCTGTCAAGTTGGTTCCGAGTCATAGCAACCCTGTATAGAGTTTCCAAGGAGCAACTGGTAAGTTTGAACTGCCAACTTTGTGGTTTGCAGTCTAGTACTGATCATACTGCATCACACCAGGAGTCCATAAAGGGAGTCAAGGTTGTCATTATCAGAGAGGAGAGGTACAAATGTGTAAAGGCCAGAATCAATCACCATGTAATGGATTTTAATTGGCGGCATCAGTATAAATTCCTAGTTTCTGATATAGAGAGAAAGCTAAGTAAGTAGAAGCATATGTATGTATAATATTGGTGTGTGTGCGTGATGTCATATGCATGTATAATATTGGGGTGTGTGTGTGGTGGCATATGCATGTATAATATTGGTGTGCGTGTGTGGTGGCAGTTGCTTCTGATTAGTTTCAGCCACTCAGTGGGCCTACATGCAATGGCACTCGTGCACGCTAGTGCTATCATGTGTAGTCACTTAAATACAAACTCCGGTCTCCTAATAACACACAGATAAACTGAGAACTGACCTTACCTCTACAAATCTAGCACTTTTCCCCCTTCAATCATAAGGCCTTCCCAGATAAGGTATAATCCAAATCAACCCTGGGTGGAAGTTATGGTAACCTGTATTCTTATTTGGTAACTCTTTTTTTCTGATACTTCCATTTAGTTTGACCAGCGTCTTCATGAGGACCCTGGTGGTGCTATGGAAAAAGTGTTGAGCTGCTAATCTCAAGGTCGGTGGTTCAAACTCAGCAGCCGCTCTATGGGAGAAAGATGGGTCTTTCCAATCCCATAAAGATTTCATCTTGAAAACTCTATACATGGATGCTATAAGTCAGAATCAATTCAATGGCAGTGGGTGATGGGTAGTGGTGAGGTTGCTTTTGTTAAGTGCCATCAAGTCAGTTCTGACTCATAGCGACCATGTATAGGCTTTCCAAGGAGCAGCTGGTGGGGTTAAACTGCTGACCTTATGGCTCGCTGTCCAGTACTGGTCATAGTAGAGTTGTGAGGAGTGTCTTAATAAAACGGCCCTCACACCATCAAATGTTCTAAGGAATGATAAAGGGACAGAGCAGATGTTCCCAGCCACATTCAAGAGAAAAAAACACGGCCTCTAGTGGCCAAATTGGGAATAATCAGGGTCCCAGCTCCAGTTACAAAGGAGATGAAGAAAGAAAAGTGAAAGATTCCCCTAAACAACTATGAATCTAGCTATGTCCCAAACAGACCCCAACAGGTTATTTAAATCAAACAAATGAAAAACTTTTTACTCCTTCTACTTTCGGGTCCTGTGCTAAAATTACAGAGTAGAATAATGTACAGGTCCTGCCCCTAAAAAGCTCCTAAGTTTTGGCTTGTGGGAACATATAGAAACAACAATAATGCAACATGCACATGAAGAAATGCAATGGAACTAGAGAAGTGAAGTCTTTACTGAATAAGCTATATCTAAGTTAGGCCTTGAAACCATCTCAGGATCTCTCCTAGGAAAACAGGAAAGAAAAGACATTTCGGCAGACGTTTATTCAAATATACAGAGAAACAAGAATGCAGGTTATGCTCAGAAATAATGAAATATAGTGGCAAGGCAGAAAAGAGGTTTGGAAAGCATAAGTTTACATTATGAAAGGCTTAGAAGTCACGTGACATGGATAGCCAGTCTGGTATCCAGTGTCCCTTACCCCTTTTCTAAGAGTCCCCTCCCCGACTTGACCACTTCAGGGAAGTTAAGCCCACCTCCAGCTAACAGAGCACCCTCAGGACTCAGAAAAATTAAAGTGATTCCAAGGCCCTTCTTTCCCCACCCACTTGTTTCAAATTCATGGATGACTGTTGAGTCAATTCAAACTCATCACAACCCCGCAGGACTGAGCAGAACTGCCCCCCGAGGGTTTCCAAGGCTCGACATTTTTATGGAAGCAGGCTGACACAGCTTTCTCATGAGAAGTGGCTGGTAAGTTCAAATTGCAGACCTTCTGGTTAGCAACAGAGTACTTTAACCATTGCACCACCAGGGCTCCTTCTCCCCTTGCTTTTGTTGTTGTTGTTCAGTGCTGTTAAGTTGTTCCCGACTCATAGCAACCCTGCATAGGGTTTCCAAGAAGCAACTGATGAATTTGAATAGATGACCTTACAGTTCAAACTGACCTTGCAGTCCAATGCTTATCCTACAGTGCCACACTAGAACTCCAACTCTCTAAAATCTCCTTTGGTCTGAGCTAGAGGAGAGTGGTTAGAGGTCTCCTCTACAGGTTTATCCTATAGCCAGTCCTCAGTAAACTGGGTCACAATGAGCAAAAGAGAGAGAGACGAAGAGGGAAACAGAGGTATCTACACAGAGAGAAGGCTGACTCAGAGCAGTGGAGGGCTGGCACACAGAGGAGTGGGAGAGAGGGAATGAGACTCAGAGTGAAAGTAAAAGAGGAGAAGAGACACAAAGCCTCACAGATCAATTCATCAACAAAAGTCCAACCAGCAGACCTGAAGGACAAAAGATTACTAACTACTCCTCGTGGTGTTCCCGAGAGGAACACATCTGGCCCCACTCACTACATCGTCAACCACTCCAGTTTCCTGTTTGGGTGAAGAAATTGGGCGTGTGAGATTCATTGTTGTTGCTATGTGCCACGGACTCGGTTCCGACTCATAGAGACCCTGTACAGGGTTTCTGAGGCTGTAAATGTTTACAGGAGCAGAAAGTCTCATCTTTCTCCAATGAAGCAGCTGGTAGTTTCAAACTGCTGACCGTGAGATTAGCAGCCTGATTCGTAACCACTATGATAGTGAGGCAAAATCCTTCGGGATCTTCTCTTTGGAATGTGCCTGCCTGCACAGAGGTGCATCCTTATGTTCTCGAAGCCAGGCAGGAAGTTTAGAAGGCAGAGTCTATGCAATAGCTCTAGTGCTGGCAGGTACATTGAATTGAGGATTCGGAATTTAGAGGCTCACTATTGCTACACATTTTCTCCACACACCTAAGCCATGTCCTTCAACCTAGCTTTCACCAGCTCTCGAGCTATCGGACTTGCACCCATCTCTCAATGGATCCCAAACTCTGGCACCCATTGTAATTCTTTCACTGTTGTTGTTAGGGATCCTTGAGTTGGTTCCTTACCTGGTACTCTGCTGGGTTCCTTTGCTGTCAAAAACAATGGGAGAGTCTGCCCAGGGCACAACCGTCGTGCAGATGATGCCAAACCAGTACCCCACTGGAACACGATGCCACTTGCTTCCCAATGAAGTAAAGGAAAAAACAGAGAGAATGCACATCAGGGTGAGACCAGGTTGCTCTTTGAAGCTCACTGAGATGGGAGGTTTCCATTCATTGTCAGTGATTATTCTGGAGAACTTCATTGTTTCAAGGGAATCCCGAGACTGGCCACAGGAATTACAAACAAATTTTTAAAAATCTGGTCTGCGAGCAAAGCAATCTAAGACCATCAAAGATCATTCCAACACAACAAAACTTCCTCCAGAACATTCCAGGACACTCCTCCGAGGTAAAAATCACTGGAATGATACTTTGCTCATGTTGTTATATACAGTATGATACCATTTATATAACAATCTGGAAATGACAAAAGTATCGAGATGGACAAGAGATGAGTGTTTCCTAGGGACTAAAGAGCAGGTGAAGGAGCTCTGATAGCGTAGTGGTTACAAATAGGGCTGCGAGTCGCAAGGTCAGCAGTTAGAAACTACCAGCTGTTCCGCAGGAGAAAGATGAGGCGTTCTGCTCCCGTAAACATTTACAGCTTTGGAAACCCTGTACAGGGTCGCTATGAGTCAGAACCGACTCCACAGCACATAGCAACAACAACAACAAAGGAGCAAGTAGGAGGGAAGTAGGAGTGTGGTGTAGGATCCTTGTGGTGATGGAAATGTTCTGTTCTGTATCTTGACTCTATCATATCAGTATCCTGGTTGTGATACTGCACTAGAGGAAAAGTGCCCTAGGGGTCTCTTAGTATTATTTTTTATAATTGCATATGAATCTACATTTATCTTAAAAGTAAAAGCCTAATTAAAAAAAAAAAAAAGTAATCAATGATAGCACCCGGGAGGCCATCAGCACAGTGCCATACTGGACTCTTCCTCATCTCCTCTTTCCTCGGTTCACTCTATAACTGAACTCAATAAGCACTTGGGCCCCAGCTACACAGCCAGTTAGTGCTCTCCTTCAACCCAACAGGAGTGACATCAGAAAATGAGGAAGGGAGAGAACAAGGGTCAGTGCTCTTGCACACATCACTTCCCCCCTTTACCTTCCTCCTCCACTCCACTGGCATCAGTGCCATCTCATCACCCCAGTCCTGGTACACAAGACAGGCTCACCTGAAGCTTGGAAACAGGCATCAAACATTCAAACAGAATAAACATTAAAAGCCATTAAGAAGGCAGCACATTCACTGCCAAGAATGTGGGCCTTGGGATCCAGATGTTCCCACACTCTGACACCAGCTCTAACTCTCACTGCCTTCCTCTCTGTGTAACCCTAAACAATGCTTTAACCTTTCCGGGCCTCAGTTTCCTCACACTGGACACTACACTCACATCAGAGCATGGCTGTGAGGAGTGAAAGAGGTAATAGAAGCAAGAGAACCTAGCATCATGCCTATATAGTAAAAAAAAAAAAAAAAAGAAGAGTTGGAAAAGTTCATTTCCTCACACTCTGCGTTCTCACATGACTTCTGCCTTCTCCTATTACATCAGAACTGGAACATAACAGGACACTTTCAAGGATTACTCCTCAGAGAAGCTCACTCTCTCTATTTTATGTGACTATTTAAGAATCAAAAGCAAAATCATCACCTGTAGCAGCTAATGCATGCCTCAGTCCAGCAGCAATGCACACAACCTTCTCTCTCAGGAGCTGTCAAGGGACAAAGAATTTAGATCTTACAATTACTCATACACAAAATGTTATGGTATCTATGTCCACATGCAATACAGCATGACCCCCAATGTGTGTCTGATAAATCTAAAGGGGTTCCCCTCCATTTTACACATAAATATTTCTAAACATATCTCAAAATGTAAACCTTTTTTAAAAACCATTACTACAACATTATAATCACAAGTTCAAAAGAGGGAATTAGAAACTATACAGCCCAGGGTTGGCGAACTTTTTCTGTAAAGGGACAGAGAGTAAATATTTTAGACACGGCAGCCTATATGATATCTGTCACAACTACTCAAATTTCTGCTATTGTAGCCTAAAAGCAGCCACAGACAACACAAGTATATCTCAGAGATATTGTGAGTTTGGGTCCAGATCAATAACTATCACAATAAAGCAAGTCACATAAAGTTTTTGCTACCTGTAAAAGTTATGTTTACACAATACTATAGTCTATTTAGTGTACAATTACATTATGAAAAAGTCTGAAATATTGTGAGAATTGCCAAAATGTGACACAGAGACATGAAGTGAACACATGCGGTTGGAAAAATGCCTGGCGTCAACAGACCTACTCAACACAGTGTTGCCACAAATCTTCAGTTTGCAGAAAAAAAACCACAATCTTTGTAAATAACAATAAAGTACAATAAAATTAGATATGCCTGTATGAAAATGAATGGGTGTGGCTACGTTCCAATATAACTTTATTTACCAAGGGCTGTAGTTTGCCACAGGAGCCCTGGTAGCACTGTAGGTTAGGCATTGGGCTACTAACAGCAAGGTAGGCGGTTCAAACCCACTCACTGCTACATGGGAGAAAGATGAAGCTATCTACTCCTGTAAGGACTTAAAGCCTCACAAATCCTACATAGATTTACCATAAGTCAGAAACAACTCAATAGCAGTGGGTTTGGGGTTTAAGTAGTTTGCCAATCCCTGATCTAGTCCTACTCCCATCAATGCCAAACCCCTTCACAATACCAGATCAAGTGGTTACCCACCCACCCTCTTCCCAACACCTGCCTCCAGTGATACAAGCTTGCCTACCTCCCCAGGTGTCTGTTCTGACTTTGCACAGTTCCATTTATCTCCTGGGTAGGAACTAATCTGTCTGCCTACAGCTTCTGATAATACTTCCCAATATTTAAAGACAGTTCTCATGTCCTCTAAGACATCTTGTGATGGCTTTAAAAATACAGTCTCAGATTCTCTGATACTTCACCCTTTAAAATGAGGAACATAATACTTTCCTAATCTGCTTGAATGTGCAATGGTCTTAGTGACTTGTTTTCAATAAAAGCAAAAAGGAAAAAAGGCACTGAGGCTGCCTATGCAACCTCTCTCTTGGACTACACTTGTGGAAAGCCATTTGCCAAGTCTGGCTACTTCTACGGAAAGGCTAACAGGCAACGAACTGATTCTTGGCCAGTATTCACATGACAGAGCTTGAAAGTGGAACCTCCTGCCCAGCCGAGCCTTCAGAAGAATGGGTAGCCCAGCTGACATCTTAACTACAACCTTACGGGACACTAGGTAAACTGTTACCAGATTACTGATCCTCAGAAAATATGCAAGACAATGTTTGCTATAAGGTGGAGGGTCAGAGAAAAAGAGGAAGACCCCCAACGAGATGGATTGGCCAAGTGGCAGCATCGATGAACTCAAGCGTGACAACAGTAGTGAGGTTGGACCAGGATCGGGCAGTGTTTCGTTCTGCTGTGCATAAGGTCGCTATGAGTCAGTATCGACTCGATGGCACCTAACAACAACAACAACAACATTCTAAAGTAATTTGTTACACATCAATCTTTAATTAATACATACCTATTCTTTAGGCCAAATCGCCTTGATTGGATCAGCCATTTCCCTTATGGGTTCAAACTTGCCCATCATCCCAGTCTGCTTCCTCTGAATACGCACTAGTTGGTCAATCTCTCTCCTTTAAAGGGATGTAATTGCTCCAATCACAGCCTTTATGAGGCTCTATCATGCTTGCTTGTGTACAAGTCCACAGTATGTTGCATAGCAAATGTTACTGATATGAAATGCCCAGAATAGGTAAATCCACAGAGGCAGAAAGTAGATTGATTACTGGTTTCCAGGGCTGGTAATGTTGGGAGGGGTTGATAGAGAATGGGGACTAACTGCTAATGAGATTTCCTTTTCTGATGAAACCCTACTTTTAGCAAGCAATGTGCCCACACACACATACATACAGTACATCTTGAATGGTAACACACAGGGGACTGTACAGTTGATAAACACATGTAACGTGCCATTATTGACAGATAGGGTGATGGTTCCCAATCTCTGTGAGCACAGTGAAAGTCATGGGATTGTCTGCTTGTTTTTTTTATTTAAAAATCATTTAATACACAAAGGGAGAACTGTCTAGAACACAAAAGCATTTCACATTTTTTAAAAAACATTCTAAATTATTTGACAGAGGCAGCAGTGATTCAGAGTCTTTATGAGAAACCATTCAAGGCAGATGTTTGAGAATTCTGAAATTTTCAGATTTTAAGAAGGTAGTTCAATGTTTATGTCATAATATACCATATGCTGCACAATCCCCCAGCAGGATCTCAAGCAGCATCCCTCATAATTAAAACCATCAACATATCTGCAGTAAAACAATGGGTATTCACACTAAATAGGATAAGTAGCTTCAATGTAAGTTCAGACTGGATTTCTAAGAAAATTAGTTATTAAAAAGCTTAGAAAAAAAATTTTTTCAAATCTTTGTGGATTTTGGAATTATAGATGAAGAAGCGTGAACTTTAATAAATTCGTATGACAACACACAAAAGATTCTTTAAACAAATGACCCACTTCTACAAATGCAGAAATAGATAAGCTTTCAAACACATTATAACAGGTGCCATCCTTAATAATATTAAATGTACATCTTAAATACATATACACACAGCATACACCCTTACCTCGGGAGCACTGGGAACATAGTGGCTAACTGCTCAGTTGCTAACAAAAGGTCAATAGTTTAAAGCCACCAACTGCTCCTCAGAAACCCTATACAAGGTCGCTGAGTTGGAACCAACTCAACAGCACTTAACAATAATATCCTTACCTCAATGGCCTGGGGAACCGCACATCTTCGAGGCCCAGGAGAAATACCTAATTGGCCAAACAAGTTGGAGCCACATGATAGAACTTGACCACTTTCTGTAAAATACAATAACTTCAATTACAAATTTCAGGTTTAATATATTTGTGAGCAATGATTAAATGCTGAGTGATGAGAGGAGTAAAAGACACAAGAGAAGGTAATGGGGTCCTATGTTTCAGGGCATTCAAATCATATTCTCTATAATACACTTAGCACAGAACCTATTGTTAAATCAGAGAACACTTATTTCTCATTTTTTGTGTTTCTATGTGATGTAATTTCTATTATTGTAGTATTCCTGGCCTTTTCCCTGCTCTTCCTCAGACTCTCTGCTTTCTATGGGAAAAGGAGTAACCTAACCCAAATGGTGAGTTTGGGGTAGGCAAGAGAATGTATGGGGCTTGGCACCTTCCTCTTTCCTCATTTTGGATCTGCTTTTGCTAAGTAGGTATTCTGGGCTGACACACACAGTAAGGATTTCCCCAGTAGGAAGGTCTAGAGTTTAGGGAGTGAGTTTGGACCAGGGAAGTGATAGAAAAACCACTTGGCCTTAGAATTAACTCTGTCTTCCAATTCAGGTGTTATCAGTAAAAAGCCAATAGATTTATCTCCAGGGATTTGAGCCTTTCTCACAACTAGTTCTAAATGGGAAGAGTGGTTATCTACAGACTCTCCACAACCTGAATGCAGGCCCATAATAAGCTCTTCATAAATGATAACTATTGTTCATATTGTAATAATTAATATCAAGTTTGACATACATTACAGCACACTTCTTCAAAAGAGAGATAACATCAAAGCAGGATTTTAAAGAAGTAGGAGCTCACTGCACAGATAAGAAAAGTCATTCCAGAGGGAACAACAGTATGTATAAATGCAGAAAGGAGTAAGAATTTGATTAGTAGTTTAATGTTGCTAAAGAAAAAGGTTTGGAAGTTGTGAGTAATAAGAAACAAGTCAAGAGAGGTAGATGAGGTACAGTTATAGAAAGCCATGTGCTAAAAAACTTAGAATTTTAGTTATGCACATGAGAAACCATAGGTCCAAAGCAGGGAGTGACATTATCAAATAAAGCCTTTGCCAAAGAACTATAACAAAGAGGGAGCCTGGTCAGAAACCATAGCTGTCCTTTAAATCCAGAATGGCCTACAGTAGAAAGGGTGAAGTCAGGCAAAAAGCAAAGAGGTTGAAGCTGCTTCAAGAGAGAAGGCAGCCAATAAAGTAACTATTGCCAAGGACTCCCCAGCTACTCCAAGAGTATTGTTCTATTAAAACTTTGACTACATTCTTCTACATCTTATCTATTATCTGCTTCACAGAAACCAAGTATCTCTGCCCAACCATATGACACCCACTCCTTACTCATTCCCATGGTTAATTTCCAAGGACCAAGTCAATATGTGCAAATTAGCATTATGCAAAAATGGAGGATGACTACATCACATCATAAATGGAAGATAACTACGTATTACATAACTACTCAATTACATCATCATCTAACTGGCAAATTTCATTACATAACTGCCAAACTATCATGAATTACTGCCCAGCCAAACCAACATTTAATTTAAACCATCACAGCCAGAATTACTCTCACCTTGTACTTCGGTGTTCATTACTGACAAATGTACATTGTTACCGCACAAATTTGTTGGATAGTAGATTTTTTCACCATTGTAAATGTGAAATGTCCAATTATGAGATAATCAATACATAAAGAGTGGCTGGATTAAGAAAACAACCCTCATTAGAAAAGAACCGCCCTCACTGCTGTGGCAGCCTCTACTTTCCTCATTCTCTTCCCCTCCTCCCCCATATTACCCATGCTAACCTTCAGCTAGCACAACTCGCCAGCTAACCAACCTCTAATTTCCTCATTCTTCCCCACCACGTTACCCATGCTAACCTTCAGCTAGCACTGCTCACCAGCTAACCAAGACACATGGCTATCATGAACTTTTGGGACAGACAGAGGCCACCAAAGGTGAACTAGTCCATCTTCCAGTCTCTAGCAAAAGTTCTCCGGCCTAATGTCCTTTACTATTTAAAGTCTTCATATAAAAGGCATCCCAGTTTTCTTGGCAACCAGTAAGATCATTTGTACATGTGTGTATTGAAACCATAAAGAGGCTTTCATTTAATCAATGTCACCATTAACACGTTCTTCTTACCCAAAGCCTTCATGGTGATACCTGGGTGTGAACTCACCTGTGAGTATAATGGTAAAATCCCAGCCACAAGCCACCTGCTGGATGGTACAGCCAAGGAGGGGTATGCAGGGACTAAAATACAGAACATCCTCTGTGTGACCAAGTCCCAATTGTCCATCTTTATTTAGACCACAAACAAAAAGACCTCCTCCATCTGCAAAACATAAAGGCCCTGGTGAAAGTGTGCACAACTGTCAAACCAGCAATAAGATGCCACCCCTTATTTGGACTCACAGACCAATAACTATTTTTCTCATTCAAGTTACTAAGTTGAATATGCTAATATGCTCTAGAACTAAATGGTACAGGGCCAAGAGGCTCAAATCTAATATATAAATGGAAACTCTGCATTCTAGAGTAGTAACCAATCAATCGCCAAACTGAGCATCCACTATGACTATGTTGTTATGGGCCATCGAGTCGTTTCCGACCCATAGCGACCCTGTATAGGGTTTCCGAGGGTGTAAATCTTTACAGGAGTAGAAAGGCTCATCTTCCTCCCGCGGTGCAGCTGGTAGTTTCGAACCGCTGACCTTAAGGTTGGCAGCCCGATTCGTAACCACTACGCTACCAGAGTACAGCTACCATTTATGGAACACTTAGTATGTCCACGTACTGTTCTAAGGAAGCCATGGTGTGGCATTGCAGGATAAGCACTAGACTACTAAACACAAGGTTGGTAGTTCAAACCCACCAGCTGCTCTTTGGAAACCCTACACAGGGGCACTATGAGTTGGAACTGACTTGACAGCACTTCCCAACTGTTCTGAGAGCTCTAAGTATGGGACCAACTTATCTTTTAGGCACAGCAGGCCCAGTGAACAGGACCCACAGCACTTTTAGGAGACCATGAAATGTTTCCATTTTAAGTTCTTTTCAAACAGATGAAAGTATAATAAGAATAACTGTAGAATCATAAATCTGAACCGGATTATATTCATCTTTATACCTATACAGTTATGAAATATAGTTTTAATATTTCTTTATGGAGGAAGGGGTTAAAGAAGGCAAAAGTGCTGAAGGCCCACCTAAGTCATAATGTGGCCCTTTCAGTGCACAGAATCTCCATTATTGTCCCACAAGTTACAAGTGAAGAAACTATGGCACAGAGAAAGAAATAACTTGTCCAAGGACACAGAGCTAGTAAACCACAGGCTCAGGATCTGAACCCAGGCAATCAGAGTCCAGAGTACGTGCCATAAAACAAGACACAAAATGGCCTCCTTTGCAATACTATAGCACTTGCAGTACTTGCTAAGTACTACCGTAGGAACTGTGAGGGAAAATTAAAGAAAATGGAAATTCTTGCTCCCAAAGACTATTCAATCTAATTGCAAAGACTTGTAACTGCCATGTTAAGAGTAAACAGCAATTCTTGATGTAGTGGTGGTGGTGGTTGTTAGTACCTGGGACACACAGCAGCCCCATGTGACTAGGCTGTAATCTTCATGTGATCAGACTGCCAGGTCTTTCTTCTACACTGAGGCTGGTGGACTGAACTACCAGGCATTTGGTTATCAACCATATATTTAACCATTCAACCATTCAACCACCAGGATTCCTTTAAAGAGCGACTGTTGTTGTCGATAAGTGTTGTTGTTGTTGTTAAGTGCTGTTGAGTTGGTTCTGACTCATAGTGCCCTGTATAGGGTTACAAGGAGCAGGTGGTAGTAATGAACTGCCAAATTTGTGTTTAGCACTCTAGTGCTTATCCTATAGAGCCACACCATGATTCCCTTAGAACATTATTTGGCACATTCTAAGTTCTCAGTCCACCATTCATCTGTCAGTTTGTCGTACTGTGGTGGCTTGCACGTTTCTGTGATTCCGGAAGCTACGCCACGGGTATTTTAAATACCAGCAGGGTCACCCATGGGGATGGGTTTCAGATGAGCTTCCAGACTAAGACAAACTAGGAAGGAGGAGAGATGGATTACTTCTGAATATTTAGTCACTAAAAAACCATATGAATAACAGTGGAACAAGCTCTGGTAGCGTAGTGGTTATGAATCAGGCTGCGAACCTTAAGGTCAGCGGTATGAAACTACCAGCCGCTCCGTGGGAGAAAGATGAGGATTTCTACTCCCGTAAAGATTTACACCCTCGGAAACCCTGTACAGG